GCTGTTGGAAGCCGCGTAGAAGGGCCCGGACCCGCGGCCACTGTCTTTTCTTCTTTCTTTTGTCGGATTCGGTCGAAGGGTTAGCCTTGTCCGTGTTGGGGAAGGCTTAACCGATACCTTTTGTCCTATAAGTACGTAGTCGTCCGTAGAGTTTGACCTCTTGGGTTCCTTCGGTGACGGGCGTCTGTGACGACGGCCGACCGTCGCCAAGGGTGGCTGGCGGAATGATGGTGGATCTTGGGTTGTTGGTCTGTTGAAGTGGAAACCTGCGGGTTACGATTACACTGTGTCTACGTGGCATTTCGGTGACAGTGTGCTTACGACCATTCTTGTGGTTTGTTTGTCTCACTATGTTTGAACCATCAATACCGTAGCTGGGAAAGGTACTGCTGGTGACAAATCGAGCACCCTTAACTTTTTTTTTGTTCTTCTTTTTTTCATTTTCTTTTAACACCCTAACTTCAGCTGCAGGTGGGGGGGGGGGCGAGGGGGGGGGACTTGCTCAACATCCAGTCCACATATATGTAGAGTGTTTGTGTAGTGGAGTGAAGCCCAGTAAGCTCGGGAACAGCCGCAGATGGAGTCTCAAAAGCCAAAACGTTTTATGTCCATCCCAGGTTTTCTATTTTTGAAAAGGCCACGGGCCTACGGCCTTGAGATATCATCATAATTTGAACTGACCGGCCCCTAGGTAATTGCAGTATTTTACTCATCTGCTTCCAGTGGAATTCGAGCACACGTCTGCATTTCAACAGTTCAGCAGTGTACCAACTGAGCTAAAGGCCAGTTGATTACCCTATAGGCTTTCTAAATTTAGTAACTGAGGGGAAAACCGCCAAAGTAATGCTGGGGAGCACAAAGCTGAGGGCTCTCTCTAAATTCCTGCAAGTGGGACCTCGTCCCACGTGGGTTTCTACCCCTGAAGGTAGATTTCCTTTTCTTCTTTTCTACATTTTTTTAATTTGAATTATCACTACAATAATGGCCAAGACCCCCGACAACCCACTTTTCCACGCAGGTGAGGGTAGGCCTGCACACTTTCTGCACAACATAGTTTTGTTTTGGATTTTTTGAATTTCCTTTCTCTCTATTTTGGGGCAACGGCTCCTGGAGTCCTGGGTCACACCTAGCATTTCAGATTTCAAATACTACCATAGGCAACGTTAGCAGTTCTTGAAACAGGGCCAAAAAAAAACGCACTCGCACCAGTGGCACTTCAAAAAAAGCCCCCGACAAATCTGCATTTGCATCACTTCAAAAAAAAACGGC